CGGGAGATGGATCCGATGGTTGAGAGGCAGTGCGCGAGCTAGTCGATGGTGGGGGAGGTAGTGGATGGTGGGGGAGGTAGTGGATGGTGGGGGAGGTAGTGGATGGTGGTGGAGGTGGTGGATGGTGATGGAGGTGGTGGGTAGTGGGGGAGGTGGGAGGTGGTGTGGTGTGTGGTTTGCTAGAACAAGAAACTCGTACCTTCGTTTACTCATCGTCGCTCCGTCCTACGTCTACTTATACAGTTCTCTGCACTGTAATGCGACTCCGGACTGTGCGATCTGTCAAGAGTGACGAGCAGTGTCAGAAACTGTGCGATCTGTCAGTCCCGGGTGACACTGCGAGGAGGGAGTGATGGAGGGGTGTGTTTTGTCCGTGAGGGAAAGGGAGGTTACGAGTTGGTGGAAGCGTAATTTTCCAAGTGGTTTGGTGAACAGGTCGGCGAGGTTGTCGTTGGAGGGTATATGATGGGTGGTGATGAGACGCTTTTCGATGTGATCGTGTAGGTAGTGGTGCTTGATATCGATGAGTTTGCTGCGCTTGGTGGTGCAAACTGAAGAGCTATGCGTAGTGCAGCTTGGTTGTCGATATGGAGTTTCACAGGCTTCTTTGGGGTTGCGTGAAAATCGCTTAGGAGTCGACAGAGCCAGTTGGTTTGTTGCGTAGCTAAGGTTGCCGCGAGATATTCGGCTGCGCATATGGACAGTGCGACCGTGTCTTGGATGGATGAGGTCCAGGAGATGGGCGCGGCATGTATGGTGTGGACTATGCCTGATGTGGATCGGCGGTTTTTGGCGTTGGCGAAATCGGCGTCTGTGCAAGTGGACAGTAGTGGTTGTGCCGGAGATGTGGAGAAGAGGATGCCGTGGTCTGGGGCGCACTTGAGGTATCTTAGCAGCCACTTGAGCTGGTTCCAATGGGCTTCGTGTGGCTGGTTCATGTGGGGAGCCAGTCTGTTTACGGTTGGGTGGATGTCGAAGCGGGTACTGTCTGCGAGATATCGGAGGTCGCCTAGGATTCGGCGGAAATGTGAAGATTGCGGTGCTGGTAAGAGTGGGGTGGTTGCGTCATGTGCGGCGTTGACTTTTGGGGGGGAAGGGGTTGGTTTCGGGTTGCAATCAGTCATGCGGTGTTTTGCTAGGACTTGTCGGACTGTGTGGCCTTGGGATATGTGGATGGATCCGTTGTGGAGGCGGGTGATGTGCCATTGCAGGTACGAGGTGGGGAAACTAAGGTTCTTGATTTTGTATTTGGTGGCCAGGAGTGAAAAGAGGGAGGTGATGGCTTGTGGGTTTGGAGCTGCGACTAGGAAGTCGTCCATGCTGATTGCGACGTGGATTGGGGTGTCTTTGGTGGCGTAGAAAAGACAAGAGTCGACAAATGATTTGCTATAGCCGTTATTTTTGAGAAACGCGGCGACGGCGGAGAACTAAATGTTGGCGGCAGGTGGTGATCCGTAGGGGTTACCTTGGGGGCGCCCCTGCTTGTTTGGGTGTGCAAGTGTGCCGTCGAATAGCGGCGTCTGTCGTACGAAAACGTCGTATTGCGGTGGGTTGGCATTTCCACGGTGGGCGGATTGGGGTGAAGTGTTGGATGAGACGGGGTGGAGGTGTGTGCGTTGAGGTGACTGGAAGCCTGGTAGATGCGCGAGGGACGGAAGGTGTCGATGCTTGTGGGTTTCGAGAAGGTTGGCTGTTAGGTTTGGTGGCGGGGCGGTGTTTTGGGGTGGGGGATTTGGTGTGTGGTTTGGTGCGGGCTCTTTTTGTGGGGGTAGACGCGGGCCGGTTGGAGGGCGGGGTCCAGGCATACGACACCCCTTCGGATTCCAAATATTTTTATATGGTTGTAAAGCTTACTGTAGATCAGTAATGGTGATATGCAGAAAACAGAAGTGGACAAACCAAATAGTTTAGAAGTTATCGTCCAACATGTACTCTCTAAATCTGGGGGATGGGGAGTTCTGTATAGGCCAAATCAAAAAAAATTATCATACAACTTTACTTGGAAATTGCAGTACAATTTATGTTATATAAAAATTTGATACCTGTTCACAGTCTGCCGACAGAATTTAATCCTAAATTCTGTCTGGACTTGCTCGAATTTGGCGATTGTGGCCCACTTCAAGCCTCCCCGACCCACTACGATAACCCGTATCGTCACGTCACCCCCCCCGCCCCGCGTCGCCAACTCCAAGCCCAAGTCAAATTGGGAGATAAACTCCCAGCCGATATTCGTCTGACAGATACTCAGGAGCTGAAGGTGGAGAACTCCCCCCTCACTGATGAGTCCGAACCCATCGGCCGTACCGTTGATTGCACTGATGAGAATCCCCTCAAGACCAAGAATCTTGCCTTATTTGGTACATTGGCTGTCGATGGAACTTGCGTTGGTATTGTTTTCAACACTGGTGATGGTACTGTATTCGGTCGCATTCCTGGTCTCGCTGCTGGGTCTAGCTCGGAGGTCACTACCCTGCAGCTCGATATTCATCATTTCGTTATCATCATTTCTTCTGTCGCAATCTCGCTCGGTGTTCTGTTTTTCATCATCGGTCTCATCAAGGGAACTGAAGTTATCACCAACATTGTGTTCTGCATTGGTATCATTGTCGCAAATGTCCCCGAAGGTCTTCTTGCTACTGTGACAGTCTCCCTCACATTGTCCGCGAAGCGTATGGCCAAGAAACAAGTGCTCGTGAAGAAGCTGGAGGCTGTCGAGACGCTCGGATCGACTACTTACATTTGATCAGACAAGACAGGTAATCTTACCCAGAACCGAATGACCATTTTTCATCTCGCGTACAATAATGCGCTGTACACGACGAAGACGGCCGCGACTGAAGCCACGTTTGACACTGACGTTTCGTGCGTCAAGGAGCTGTTCTACATCGGCGCGAACTGCGCGAAGGCCATGTTCGATGCTAAACATCTTGATGATACCCCGCAGAAGTCAATTGACGAACGCAAGGTCAACGGTGATGCTTCAGAGGCTGGTATTCTCAAGTTTTCCGAGAAGATCACGTCGGTCAGTGCAATCCGTGCTCGCAACACTCAGATTTCGACCATTCCCTTCAACTCTGCGAACAAATTCATGATCACAATCAACAAAGTTGCGGATGCGGGAGATCGCCTCCGTTTTTGCATGAAGGGGCTCCTGAACGTGTCATGGAGAGGTGCACAAGCGTCCTCACGAAGGAGGGTGTGATGCATTTCGATGCTGATGTCAAGGCTGTTATCAACGAGCAGCTCGCTTTCATGATGGAAAGAGGAGAGCGCCGCTTGGGATTCGCCAAGATGGATCTTCACCCGGTCGAGTTCCCTGTCAGGTTCGAGTTTGATGTGGAGGAGATCAAATTTCCCATGGAAGGTTTGGTATTTGTCGGCTTTATGGCTCTTCTGGACCCCCCTCTTAAGGATGTACCGAGCGCTGTCGCCACTTGCCAGAGCGCCGGTCTTAAAGTTGTCATAGTTACTGGTGATCATCCAGCCACTGCCAAGTCAGTTGATAAGGTGGTCAATATCATCAAGGGAGTGTGGCTTCGTGATAATACATATTGGTAATTTGTTCCGGCTTAATATGTGCATTTCGTAGATCTAGGAAAGGTTGAAGAGAAATAAAAGTTATGTCTGCCTCGAAGGAACCTTCGCTACTTGCTCACATCAACGAACTAAATGTCGGGTCTCAAACAACTAACGTTGCAGTATGGTGGGGTGTGCGCTGGAGAAATATCTATGGTAATGCGCATTTGTGCCATATATATTGCAGTAGAGAGACTGGAGGCAGTCAGATGCTCTTTTGCCAGTTACTGTACTGCTGTAGGCTCAGCTGATATAAATATCTTTGGTCAAACCCAGGGTGTGGCGCAACCGGCCTTTGGTACTGCTGCACCCACGTTTGGCGTACCGGCCCAAATCTCCTTTCCGGGTACCGTCCAAAACGCTGCTCCGGTGCTCAGGCACAGACCAAGGCAGCTTCATTCGGCGCACCTGGGTCTTCTCCTTCTCTCTTTGGTGCGCCAGCGCAGGGGGCCTCATTGTTCGGTGCGCAATCACAGCCACAATGCCAGACCTCCAAAATCAACTTGCTCACTCGTGTATGGCAGCTTCCACAGAACTTTCAGACGGATCTGTTTGCAGTTGAGAGACTCTTGCGAGAGCAACGGATAAAAGGGACTGAATTACGATCGAAAGGCAACAGTTTTGACTCAGATATCGCACAAACGAAAACGTGCTCCACAAATATTACTCGTCGTCTCGCTATGCTTCGCGCTGGTTTAGAGGCGTTGAGGGCCAATTCGGAAACTCTAAAGTTTACCAGGGCATTGCACCCTCACTACCGTATCTGACTGCGTCAAGCAGACCACTGAGTAGCGGAGGCCACCCAGCATATCACGCAACTCCAAGAGCCTGCCTAATTTGCCTCGCCGCTGCTGCGCTGATCTCTTTCGATTTCTTCAACTCCGAAAACCTGGACAAAACAGTTGCGACACTGATAAACTCTGTGCACGGTTCCTGTTCTCATGTAACCTAGAGGGTGCATACTTACCTGTCCAGGCAAATTTACCATTGTACACTTCCCACCAATGGATGGTGAGATCCGTAGTTACGCCTTCATCGTCCTTGTGAATTGATATGATACGCCCAACCCAGAACGGGAAGGTTTCTATAGAGCAAGAACAACCGCGTACCGCTACGAAGTCATTACATTCGTATTCGAGGTCTTGCAAGGGTTGTACTTCCATCTCTATTTCAACTTCATCATGTTCAATTTCGTCTTGCAAGCCATCAACCGCATCAGTAACTGTTCTATACTTTCCCTTCATCTCAAATACGTCGCACAGATTCCAGTGGAATCTCTCCAGTCTTGATTCATACACGCGGTCGCGTAGAAGCCGTGGATGGGCTAACTTTCTCCTGTCACTCACTCGTGTCTCCTCAAACACAAGACGGGTGTTGAGTTTATCAAGATCGTTAGGGCATGTGCCTTCGGTCGGTGGTGTTTTGGCAAGGTCAGGTGCAAATTTCAGGAAGCCTCCGGTGCACTGCCCAACCTTGAGATAGCCCAAATCGTCGTTGCACCCAACCCACGCGGAACATGCAGTGATAAAAGAATTGCCACGACACTCTGGGATCCCCTCCACACGGTGAAACTTGAAATATCGAAAATGGGAAAACCGTTGAGGCTTTTCCAAACACCTTTCTTGGTCACGCAGCCCAGAGAAGTTTATAATCTGGTGAAGATCAGCAACGTGAGGGGGAGGGTTATATGCCTCCGGAGTTCAGTGATCAGGTCGTCCAGAGTTATAGCCTCATGATGCCTGAGCCGGCGAGCAGTGCAGCTGAACGCTTGGTCTATGTCAGAATGGGTATGACCAATTGGGAAAAACGACACAAAGACTCCTTGAAACACTCCCCATGCAACCAGGGATTCCATGTATCCGAAGAAGTACCCTACTAGAATCTCTGCTTGTACTTCGAAGCAAAACGGTACCAAAATCGAACCGCCTTTAGCGACAAATTTGAGCACTGTATACAGTTGCTTCTGTGTTCGAAATTTGGTCGATTTTAATTCTATCTGGTTGCATTTGAACACCGCCCATGGTGAGGAAAACAATGTTTTTAATTTATTTTCGGTATATTGGCGCACGTAATGCTCCCCCAAATGCTTGGTTTCAGAATTCAAAACGAGAATGTTTTTAAAATATGATTGGTCAAAAGTTCCGTTCCGGCTGGTCCTCGTAAACAGATGACGTCACACTCGTTTCTCTGATCATACATCTGTGACAGGATGATGACACGCATGACAACTGCCCGATATACAGTTGTTATGATTGTCACAGTATGGTCACGGCTCAAGATCACATTGTGATCTTGTTACAGGTAGTCACACATTGACAACAGCAAACTACCTTTTCAAACCTTTACTGTGACTCATGCTCATCGCTCGTAGTGGCATCTTTCTTTACCCAAACCACCGCCTGTTTCGGTTTTTAACGACGAGAGAACCCCTTTAAACGCCGGTTCAATCCATCTGCTGCTGCTCTCCTTGCATTCAGGAGGTGATCAGAACGGATATTCTCGTCAATGAAGTAGGTGCGCTTCCGTGTCCGCAAAAACCCCGCTCGAC